CAGAATAAAACATGTAGTATGGCAATTAATTCCAGGGTGCTTGATGCTGTTGACGTTTCTGCCACTCGCTCGGATTAGAACAATCGAATGAATTCAGTTAATTGTGTGGTTGTTATTGAACGAGCCATCTAAAATGACATTATGATTGCAGAAAACCTATAGATGAAACTCACCGTATGTTTTGGGAGAAGTGTCATCCTTGTTGTTTGGCAATGGAACTCGAAAATATGAAATAAGGCAGGCAGTGGTCAGAAGAAAAGATATTACAGGATAGTGCATAGTTTAAAACAGGATGAGGTGTTAAGTGAAGGAACACTAAGAATTAGATCCAGATAACTATTCAATCCTTGATTGCATTTAGTCAATGTATATTTATGCTATTAACAGGTCATATTTGCTAGAGCTTGATGTTTAAAAAAGTCTATGTCGCTGAAGCAGGTAAATGCTATTAAAGCTTGTTAACGAACCATCAAAGCTAATTAGTTGATATAGATGATCAACTTTTATTATCGATTGAGCTAGTAAGTTATGTGAACTAATAGATATAACATTACGATAATATATGTGACCATTAATCAAAGGACTATTAGAATATTGGGTTTACAAAATTAAAAACCGATTGAGAAGGTTAAGGTGGAAATAAGCATTAACAATAACAGGTTGCGTTTCTTTAGTTGGGCTCACCAATGTAGAACTATGGTCTACTATGATATTAGTACTGCTCTAATAATAGACCTAACCCTAAATTTGTAGATTTGTCATGATATAACTGCCTAATCTATAAGATCTTACGTGGAAGTCACACCATCGACTACACCAACTCACTGTATCGTATCAATTACCAATATATGATGTAGAACAAGGTTAGGTTAGAGAAAGAACAATATATTTAATATGAATAGAAGATATAAGGTAACATTCAGCAGAGACCACGCCTGCATGGCCGAGCCATGCCACTCGATCAACTCCAGTCCATTCAATTCATTCTCCGCGCCTTCTCCATTGTTAGGTATTTCCCCGAGTTAAATATTGAATATCTATTTTCTGAGTAGTCTCGTGTTCACAGCTTTGTGGATTGTGCGGTTATTGTTCAATGCCACTACAAATCCATTAAAACTTATAGTGACTCACTTTTATCACGAGAACACGATTGGTTTATTGAAAACAATTATTATTATAACCAATTGTACCAGTGGCTGTTTAATGTGCTCTTTAGCTGTGCTAAAAAACATCCATTATACTTACACTTTGATTGTGAACTCGCGCGAATTCGGTTCCGCTCTGTAACCAGGCTTGTATCCTGGCACGATCTCGGTATTCTTTCGATACCACGAGATCGCCAGCAAATCTATCTCGACTTGGTCCATTAATTGCCTTCTGATATTTGGCTTCCGGTGTATTTTATGCATATCCTGGCACGCGTTCTTTGGTAGCGGTGTTCATATTCAATCTCGACTCGACGCTACGCTACAAACTAATGATAAGTTATTCTCAAATAACAGTCTATGACATGTGAGGCATGTTAGTTTACCGACATCAAATGTCAAAGACCACCACAATGTAAAGATCTTTCATCATCATATCGCCTATCTATAACAGATGGCTGAATCCTCTGGCATTGGTTGCCATCAATGCGTACTTTTGGGGCGTCATTTTGAGGAATGGTTGAAGTGGTAGTAGATTTGGGTCGTACAATTGAAGGGTCTTTGTCTTCTATGGAACAACTATACATCTTTGGCACTCACATCAACTAGATTTCTCCGAACCTTGTTGTTGGGACAGTAGATCTTCCAGTTAGTATCCCTTCTTTAATAGCTATAATTTATATTTGGTATTTTGAAGGCCAAAAAGATATTTTGGTGAGTCACAAGAGTCTTTAATTTGGTTTCGAGTCGCTAATGGCTCTAACCCGGTGGGTTAAACACCTGTCCTCAGACTTCCGTTAGCCTTCAGAGATCGATCAAAGAATGAAGGCGGTTCATTACCAATGCTATTTTAAAACGAAACAAAAATTACTCTAGACTTCTGTGAAAGTCATATAGAGGCTGGTACTATGTCAAGCCCACATAGGTTATCTTAGCTTCCGAAGAGATCAGTTGAGTCATTATCCTTGAGTCACATTTTGATCTTGACTATTAATCGCTTATAAACCTTGACTGTTTATATATAGGCGAACGTGTGTGCATTTCTTATCTTACCTGTAATTTGCCTGTAATTTATTTTTGTTCGACTATATATATTGATTCATGTCTAGCCTGCATGCCTCCTCCAATCCCTATCGCTTTTTTTTCCTCCGCTCCATCTGCTTAGTTCCCCCGACTGTCTGTCAAGATTAAGTAGTGTGCAAATATAGTCATTCAAAACCTCATTCTCATATATGACTTATATATTTACATTAATCACCAGCGCGGTTTAGGTCAATGATCATATACGACAGTTGACGATATGCTTATTTCATTAACAATCATCCGTCCAACCTAATTATAATCAGATTTTGGCTCATATAAGACTATATAAAGAGAGTAACTACAATAAGCGTTTGTCGAAAGTTCGTGGGCTTTTCTTTCTCTGTCTCAAAGCAGCCTTCCTACAAGATTTGAGTAAGCGAGAACAAACCAGAACTACCCAGGTGCATATCAGAGGGCAAAACATCCACATACCCTGTCTGGCAAAGTTTAAGTTGAAGCCTTGTTTTAATTGATGGCGGTGAAAAAATACTTGACTGTATTTATAGGAGCGCAATCCAAAATGTATTGTCCCGAGGTATGTTTGTTTGGTTCCTTATCGACATTGATATTGTTTCCTAAAGAGTTATATTGAGGTAATATGTTTCGTGATTCATTGTCTGTAAGTGGATCTGGAAGTAAAGGTGTTTCTGCAGGATTATAATTTATGGACGACTTTTGGCGACGCTATTGACGTAGAGTTTAGTGGCCTTATATCTCACTTGGTATTATATACTGACTGTTAGCGAAATACACATGCCGCCAACACCTGCACATTTTTATTTATTTAACTCGCTTTAGAGAACAACTATTAAATAAGCCTTGTGTGAGGATGGGTTTTTGAATACGTATATTTCACTCATTGATCCATACAAAAAAGACAGGATCGAAATAAAGGAAGCAGGACAAAACGAAGCGAAGCAGTGCGCAGCGAAGTAGACACGTGAGCCAACTCATTATGATCAAGAGTGACTCAATATTTATAGTCAGACCTCAATTAAGTTCGACACTTAATGAGTAGGATAAGCGGCGAGACTCTAATTCCGGGACGACCTTTGAACGAATCTTAAATGACCTTGGTAATTATTAGCCAATCAAAAGACAGTATGAAGTAAAAATATATTATAAGAAAGTAATGAATTACAGTGGATATTCTTCTTTTATGTGATTTAAAAACTTGTTAAGGTTTGATAAAGGTTCAGAGGTTCTAAATTCACAATGCATACGTTCACTAACCTAGACCACATTAGGAGAGAAAAAAGTCGCCACCACAGAAACTAACCGTTACGTACATCTAGAGGTATGATTCAGAATCAACCTTATTGTTGCAGTTGTAATTTTTCTCGTTAAGTTTCGAGTTGGGTGTCATCCAGTACTTTTAGTTTCTTTTTCTCATTCCCTCATCCTTAGCTTTCCGATGCAATTAATTTCATTATTTTCATTGTTTGATCTATCTTGTTAATTTTCACTGTCACCATCTCAATGTAAAGTATCACATTTATTTATTTATATAAACATAAATATTGGTGCAAAGGGGCACCAAACACATATGCACCACACAAATCTCGTTCCATATGTGTGAGGGCTGTGATACTGTCCGGGTGCCCAAACCGATATAGGTGGTTTTCCTAGGGGGCCATACCCGGAGCCTTCGATCTAAAGGTCTGATCCACAAGACAGTGGAGCAACGTTAGGAGATGCAGTTCCATGGCATCCGGTGGCCAACAATTGGTTCATCCGCCATTTGTTCCTTCAGGACCCTGGAGCCCATGTGCACCATTGGTTTGGAATGAGGGTTTTCCAAGTCCTCTAGGTGGACACTCCATGTCCACCAATCAGGTTGGAGAGCCGGACATTCGCTTTTCGTCCTCTCACTTTCGTAAGCAACACCCCTTCCACGAGAAGGTAGAGTAGGATTCCCCTGCCAGAGGCTATATACGCGTGACCATGTGAGAGCACTTCGAGAGGGAGAGAGGACTCTCCACACCCTTGGCTGTACTAGGGCATTTGGGAGTGATAAGGAGAAAGATCGAACATTTGCGACTTAGTCCAAAAAGACAAGGAATAGATTTATATAAAAGAATACTGGAACTAACTACCTGGATCAAAATGAAAGTGATTAAATGCGCATCACTGTTACCAATTTTGAACCATTCCTCCCAACGTCTCTAACGAATAATCTTTTAAACATTCATTAAAATCGTAAAGTATATAGTACTGAGATCAAACCTAACGTTTTGTTTTTGGAATGTAAATACATTTACTTCTATAGCAAGTAGTTTTATAATATATTCTACGTTGCTAAATTTTTCGCAAGTTTATGCAATTATCATCGATGAGATCAAAAACAATCCTATAATCGATCGTTTAAATGATAAACTGTCATAACTGTATGGCTTGTGGATAGTTATAATTGATATCAAACTTCAAACTTTTAACTAAGAGACTTCGTTTGAAGATTTACATTGTTATTATATCGTCTAGTTTTGGTTTTGCTATGAATGCATTAGTAGTTTGTAGCTAGTATTTTTCAGCTCCAAATGATTCTAAAATGTTAATCATGAAATTCTCCAATTTAGAGGGGACTAAAAGTTGGCTACTAATTGTATACCAACACATGGCACGAACTTGTTTGGATAATTCCCAGTCCACGTGTATCTGGTTTCCAAAAACTAATATATCAACAATAGTCTAGGTGGCTGGTGACAGATCCTTACTACAACAAGCTTCTCATTAAAGACTTATGGTGCTACTTATAGTACCCGCCTACAATTTATGAAGTATTGGATTGGATTTCAACTGTTGCTTTTCCGATCTCGGGGACCAAACGGTGTCAAGGTGTTTGCAGAAAAAATGTCTGGAAATCCATTTGTTCACGAATATGTACGTGGATAAACGAATTAGTTTTTTTGCATGTATGTAGTTCGAAATAAGGCTGTTTACGAGGCATTCATTTGGTTACATTATGGTAAACTAGCTTACATGGCTCCGAGAAAAACATGCTTATCAATGGAGCCATTTTTCAGCTTTTCTAGAACTTTGGATCTGTGAGCTTCGATTCCCATCCCCGTTCCACCTACTTGGGCTACTAGGTATCGGTAATTAGTTGACAAAATGTGTTTCTGTTTTCGACTTGACATCAATCAAACTATCGTCGCTGTGCCGGAACACACGTTACCGAACCTCTGCATTACTGTTGCCACTGGATGTCAGCAATCCTTCGGTGACAAAAATGATCAAACACAGAGAGTCGTCTAACATTCTCAACTCTGAGATGCCAGGTTTCACAAGCATATAGCAAAACTGGTCTCATCGACGCGTTGTAGATCCGACCTTTAACAGCCAGACTAACATCGCTTATGCGCTAAAAATAGCCCAGATTGGCATCAACCATTCTGGCTTTCACTACATGTCAATTAATCTCATCACTCACGCCATTACCGGTACTTGCGCGGCTACCCAGACACAATAATTCGACTACTTCTATCCGCTCACCACCCAGAGTTGAGTGCAGTCTCAGGGTTCTCCCAGTCTTGTAAAAGAACTATGCACTTGGAAGGTACAAGGCACATACCATAACTACAGACACTTGTTGCCAACTGACTATGTGCGGATTGCATGACTTGGCTATTATTGCACAGCAAGACAATATCATCACCATACTCAATGTCGAAAAGTCTTTCTCTAGGCAACAGATGCACACCGCCATTACTTGAACCCATCAGAGCTGTTTGTATGCAAATTTGGAGAGGAATGGTGAGATTGACTACCCAGCCTAACCCCACTGCTTGAATGAAACGATGGAGGAAGGTGATTGTATGCCCTCATTCTGTCAGTATGCAGGGCTTTCAAAATGTTAGTAAAATTTCCAGACACACCTTTCCTCAATATACAATCCCAGAGAACAGTCCTGTCCAGCAAATCGAAGGCGACCCTAATGTTAAGAATAACTACGATTCAGTCAGTCAGTCAGTAACAACGTAGAACTTCGTACGTACGTACATCAGTTCGAGTTGCCACACTACCTTAACACAGAGATGCAGTTGTCGATTCAAATCCCGTAGTGGTAGAGGTAGTAAGAGTATAAGCAGTAGTCGGGAAGATTAGGGTTTGGTGATGTTATTTAAAGAGTATAATCCAGTGAAATAAATTTGGAAAGAGGAAAAAACGGACATGAAGAATTCAGAAGATTAGAATTTGGGAGAACACAAGGAGTGGTTGCACCTGCGCCATCGCAAACGATTTTGAGCCATGTCATTCAGGGTCTCTAACCATCGGTTGCGAATCGCAACCAGGTAGTCTACACCCAACAACATGACTCAGTCCACTTGTCAGTGACTTCATGAACTTGTGCCATGTTTTGGTTTGGCCACTTCTACCTTTCTTCCAACCTACTCCTATACCATTGAACATCGCTCGTCGAGGCAGTCGATCGTTGGGCATACGTAACACGTGTCCCAGCCATCTCAACTGATGAAGTTTCACTACTTCATCAATTGATTTGCCATCCTTACCTAGTACCCGTTTCCTAACAACTGCATTACATACTTGATGGTCTCAGGATATACGAGCAATATTTCGAAGACACCTATGATCAAATACTAGTAACATACGGATATCCTCTACTCTTGCCGGCCATGTTTCACTGCCATAAAGTAGAACGGGATGAACTGCTGCGCAGTAAACCCGTCCTTTGGTTGATAGACGGATATCTCGCCTACGCCATAAATGACTCAAGTTGGTAAAAGCTAGTCGAGCCTTCTGTATCCGTGCTGAGATTTCGTCACACACCAAACCACAAGGGGTGATGAGACTTCCAAGATAAGTGAAGCGGTCGACACACTCAACTACTTCACTCCCTATCACTAGTTCGGGTGTCGATGTAACCCAATCCTGAAGCAACATTTTGCATTTCGAGGGGGAGAATCACATCCCGAACATGCTTGCATTGTTGCTTAGAGTGGTCAGAAGACTGCATTTTGTCAGCGTCTTCACCAAATAAAACTATGTCATCAGCATATTCTAAGTCAACAAGTGAACCTCCTGGTAAAAGTTCAACCCCTTGAAATCTAGACGAGGAAAGTGTTATCTCTAAAAGTACGTCGACGACAAAGTTGAACAAGAATGGAGAGAGTGGACAGCCCTGACGAACACCACTTGAGGTAATCAATTCTGATGACAGTTCGCCATAAGCTCTCACTCTACCAGTTGTGTTCGAGTAGAGAGCCTTTATAAAGTTAATGTACTTCTTTGATACTCCTTTCAGTGACAAACACTGCCATAGAACCTCACGATCAACAGAGTCGAATGCCACCCTAAGGTCGAGAAATACTACAATTGTGGGGCGTCTGAATGTGTGTCTGTGTTCTAGAACCTAACGTAGTGTGAATATCTGATCTATACAACCACGTCCAGGTCGAAAACCAGCCTGATTTTCTCTAATCTGCTCTTCACGAGCTTTGAATTGGCGTCGAAGTGTTATTGAAGCTAATATTTTAGACACTGATTCCTCCTTGTGGGAAGGCAGCATCTCTGCAGATGCTGGTTGTCCGAGGGAAACACCTTACTGCTGTCACACCCCTCTACAGTCAGCAGTACGACTTCGCCCTCAGACCTTGAGTTGCTGCTTTTAGTCTTACCGTTCTCCAATCGACCTGCCTGGCATGGTAGAACCTACAGGGACGTATGTTCCAGCCAATATAGCTCTGTTGGATCATCACGATAGGCAAGCCCGACCACCGCGTCAAGGTAGCATCTTCGGTTGGGATAACTACGATTGTTAGTCTGCGATAAGTATGACGGTTTTATAACATTTGGCGGAGGGTGAAGATATGATCAATATATCCTCGATCAGAACGAAAACCAGTCTGCTCCTCGCGAGTCAATCTTTCTCGGGTTTTGAACAACCTACGAAGTATGACGGAAGCAAATAGCTTGAACGCAATCGGAATTAGACTTATCTTCCGATAGTTGTTAAAGAGACGACGTGAACGTTTTCCAAACGTAGGGACAATTATTGACTCATTCCACGATGTTGGGACACTCTAATTGCCAGACCTTTGTGAACAACTCAGTCAGTTCCTTAGCCATAGAGTCACCACCATCTTTAAAAAGGGTCGGAAGTAAGTCTTCTGTCTGGGCCCAGTGATTTGTAGCGCTTTGCGAGTTCGAGTCCTTTGCGGACTCCCGCCTCATTTGGTGGATCAATCGTCACAGGTCGTAAAGAGCAGGATAGTCTTATCGATCACTGTCCTCTCCTGGTGGGGGCTGTTGTTTACGAAGTTGAGAGGACGAAAAGCGAATGTCCGGCTCTCTAACCGAGTTAACGGATATGGAGGGTCCACCTAGGGCAGTTGGAAAACCCTCATTCCAAACCAATGGTGCACATGGGTTCCAGTATCCTGAAGGAATAAATGGCGTATGAACCAATTGTTGGCCACCGGTTGCCATGGAACTGCATCTCTTTACGATGCTCCACTGCCTTGTGGATCAGACCTTCAGGTCGAGGGCTCCGGGTGTGGCCCTGTAAGAAAACCACCTACTTCGGTTTGGGCACCCGGACAGTATCACAGCCCTCACACATATCGAATGAGATTTGTGTGGTGCATATGTATTTGGTGCCTCCTTGTACCAATATCTATGTGTTCAAATAAAATAATAAATAATTTCGATAGGCTGTTAGCTAACCTTGAACCTAGCTCGGTTCGATACCTAGTTGCAACGTAAGTTACAACCAACTTGCTGACATCAATCCTTTGGTGACGATCACTTCGTTGGCCACTGAAAAGTAAGGTAAGATTGGCATGATCAGAGTCCAGATAGGTACTCCAAAAGGAGCAGCAGTCTTGTACACAACCACTCCAGCGGTAGCTGATCGCGACGTGACCAATCTGAATCCAGGCTTGAGATGCAGAGGAGTGGTGCCAGGTGGCACATCGGCGATGACTGTGCCGGTAGTTAGTGCTAGCCAGAAACAGGTTGTGGTCTGTGCACAGTTGCTGTAGACGGTCCTCGTTATCTGACTTGCGACCAACTAGTCCTCATCGAACTTATTTTAACAACAGACATCTCCAATACTAGTATAAACAGCAAACAATGAGTCTAACGTTTCGTTATTATTTAGAGAAAATAGTATTTAGTATATATTACTGAGTTACTATTATTTTTATTATCAAGGTTATCATTTTCCTGCTCATCTGTAACATTTTATAGATTCATTCATTAGTGTTTTTTCTCATAATAGCCACAAATTCAGATCAATTCTGTGAATAATCTCACTACAACTATTCAGAATACGTTACAAATGACAGTTTCAACACTACTGAATCAAATTTTAGAAAATTCAAATATTGTAAGTTTAAAATATTAAACCTTTATTTAAACTGTTAGAGAAACATTAATTCTGCGACAGTTTATATAAAAAATATTAAAACTGTTCAACAGAAGTTAGAAATATTGACTACTAGTGGGAAAGACAAATTGTAAGTATCTATAATTTTATCTATTTAATCATCTTTGTATAAATTTCTTCAATTTGAAGATAGTTTTTATAACGAACTGATACTTGGTGAAAAATTATTCAGAATCCGACAAATTTTCGTCCTGACTTCGAAAAAACCAAACTATATTCAAAGCACTGAGTTGATGCTGATTGTCGATATCATTTAGAACTTACAGCTTATACGATTTCACTTTACACAGAGTGTGGAAGAGATCGAATCCTCCAGGAAATATTAGTTCTCTCAAGATTACAGGTACACCTTGTTGACGAGTGTCAAATAGTACAAAATATAGACCCTGGGGTCTCCTTTTGACTACCTACGACCACCAGCATCTAACAGTGGAGTCTAATATTTCAACAAAATAAGAGGTTGTTTTTATCGTGAGGCTTGGTGCAGTTCAGGGGAGATGCTAATTACCGCGGTACTACTACTACTACTACCTCAGTACTATGTTTTGTTTGAATCCCAATCTGTTGCTCTTCCTGATTGATTTTAGACTTCACATTCGCTACTTATAACTCATGATAAGTCACTGGGTGAAAATAGCCACCTTTTATTTAACATGTACTACTTATTGTCTGTACCTTTGCGTCCTTCATCTTCGACATAAAACTGGTTGGCTTTTGTTCGATAAGTATTATGGAGTCATTGAAATATAATTAGAATTCACTTGAATCTAGAATCCAAACCCTCATCGGAGTATAACTGGTTAGCTTGACGCGTTACTTATATATAGTTGGTTTATATATAGTCATGTTGATTCTTCTTTTTTGGCTTCTTTTAGAGAAATTATTACAGATTTTGATCGTACACTATCAAAATATTGTCATGATGGTGAACTTGTTCCGACTTCTTATGGTAACTTGTTTCAAATTTCTATAATACATCTTTTTCTCTAGGTATTTTTGAATCAGATCCTGAATTAACGGAAACAGCGAAATCCATGGTGGGTGGTCATCTACTGGTTTAAAGAAAAAATCATATGTGATTTCAGTTCCGAGTAGTTAGTAGATTTATTGGTGCTCAGACTGTTTAGTTATTACTTACTCCTGTTACCTCTCATGGAGGAGCATAGGCCGCCCATCATTATTGGAGGGTGATGGGTTAGTGGTCATAAACTGCTCAGCTTCCAACCAATAGGTTGCAGGTTTGACTCCCGTTCTATACTTTTCGCTTTGGATAGCCCTATAATCATCACTACTAGTCCTCACATATAACTGAAGTATTACTCAAAGCCCAGTATCTAAGCCTGTATTTAGTGAATGAATTACAATAGAACAAGAAGAATCGTTGAAAAAACGAAGTGTTATACATATTTCGTGTACAGTTGTATAACCATGTTTTTAGATGCTATTTCACCGACTTTGATTTATAAAGCTGGATCACATATGTCTTGTATTTGAATATTGAGTGTTTCAAAGTTGATCATACTAAACAAGAATAAACCTGTTCAGTGATTTGTGTCAGTATTTCCCACTTTAAACTCTCTAGAATGAAGTATAAAATCTTAAAATTTTATCCCGACTATTCTGTATTTGACTCATCATTTCATCACTGACTAACAATATTAGGTTTACTAGTACTAGTGTTAAAGATGTGTATCCTTATCAAATGTTACCTGCTAAACTGCGACACGTTTTCCATAAGCTGTGACAGATGGAGTTCAAGCATGTCGGTTGTGAGGCTGTTACCTACTAAATGACGTAGTAAGATTTTTAGGTAACACTGAGAATTAGTTAAATTTGGAAATTTAAACCATTGGATGCTGGGTTAGCGGTCCAAATGTTAAGCGTTTGACGCGGGATCTGAAGATCCCATGTTCGATTCCCAGTGAATTCGTGAATAAACTAATGTGTGGGCGAGAACGATAATGATTAGTTGTTTGCTTAGTCAGAGTAATAGGTAGACTGACAGGTACTTAATGAGTTATATATTCTCCTACCCTTGTTATTATTGGATTGTTGTCGGTTTTTGGTGTCGAAATATACTTGCGTTCTAGTCAGGCTAGTCACGTTTTCTCGATCTGAGTTATGTTAAAGTCCTGTAGTATAGACACTGGCAGGGTATCTAGTGTAGATGTTCGTATACGGCAAATTAGCATCTCATACACGTAGACGAAAAATCGAGCGTTATAACATATACACTGCTAAATAGCCCCATATCAGGACGAAACAACTGTCCAGTGCTTCCTAGTCTTTTATGGTTGTCTAACTAATGTCAGTTCGTGATTTAAGCTGCGAAGTTCAAAACCTATGCAAGCTCCCTCAAACAATAAATATTTCCGTCCCCTAGTTTTCAGTGCTTTCATTTTTTTCTCCAAATTAATTACAGTCAATAATAATAAATTGAGAATTATGTATCTGTTTTTAGGTCTCATTTTCATTTATATATCACATTTTATTAAATATTAGCTTATAAGTCTACGGAACAAATACTATCCTATTGAATTGGATACTAATCTTACAGAAAATGAAAAAACCCCGTATATGCTAGAATGGTGGGAATTAGCTCATGAAGTAATTATTGAATGTGGAATACAAAAACACACATTAGAAAGAACTGTTAAGGAATGCCATTTAGTGTTACGGTGAGTAGTCCGTTGTCATGTCTTTTTTTATTCTTGTTTTTAAAATAAGATATTCATTTCAAATGAATAAATTTCCTTTTGAGGTGACCTAGTAAATGACTTAACCTTGTGAAGATTATTGGGTTTTTGATTGTGATCATGAACCAATTGATGTTAAGCCAATTTTCGGAGTTTTATTGAGAAGCCATGACTAGTGGAGCTAATCCGTGTCTGGTAGAGACAGTCATCTACCTCAGTACAATGGAAAATGGTCGCGCAATATCGTGGATTGGTTGAGGTTAGACATTAACACCGTTGGATGCCGGCTCTGGTCTAGAAATTAAGCGTTCGTGCGCGAGACCGAAGGCCCTAGGTTCGAATCCCTCTGATGGGATCGTGGATGCGCACTGCTGAGGAGTCCCACGATAGGACGAAATAACCGTCCAGTGCTTTCAGGTTTTCAATGGTGGTCTAACACCAGTCAATTCATGATTTCATTGAAAGTTGAATGTTTTAACCAGTTAGTCACGGTTTATTTTTTTACTAAGATATTTTTGTTAATCTAGAATGATTAACACTTCAAAATCATATTATTTCATATGTTAAGCTTAACTTTCATACTTGTCCGTATACATTAGTTTATTCTCAAATCTCAAGTTATTCATGTGTATATTTGGTTTTAAAATCATTCTTTTTTAAAAAGTACTTACTTACGCCTGTTACTCTTCATGGAGGAGCATAGGCCGCCCACCAGCATTCTCCATCCAACCCAACCATTTTAAAAAAAAATATGATTGTTAACAATATTCTGAAACTATATTTCCAATTGTTTCTGTGGTTTTTATTTTATACTTTTTTTCCTTATAACTTCAGTGATAAAGTGAGTGAATTTTTCCAATTATTATCGGATCATCATATACCAGTATTGGTTTTCTCAGCTGGACTTGGGGATGTAATTGATTTATGCCTTCATCATGCAAATGTTTTTCATGATAATATGCGTGTTGTTTCAAATTTTATGCAGTTCAATGATGATGTAAGCACTATTATTATTATTATTATTATTATTATTATTATTATTATTATTATTATTATTATTATTATTATTATTATTATTATTATTATTCTAGTAGTACTGTAATATTTTATCACTCAAGTACCATCTTTCTAAGAATCATGAATGACACATAAATATAGCTCAACTATAGATTAATTATATTGTCAGTTTAACAATAAACAACAAACTAAGTATTCGATTTTCTACTGGCTAATATGCAAAAAAATACGAGATCTATTTCATTCGAAACAGTATTTGACTATATTTTCTTTTGTACAGTGATTATCAAGAGTTTAGTCACAACCTGAGTGTCTCATGATAACACAAATACCCCTCGAAATTTCATTTGTATACCTAGCTGACGTGTGTCAACTAGTTTGAAACCCATATCTATAAGGTTCCCTCCTGAGTACCTTTAATCAGCTAACAGTTAAATTATATTTTCATTCTTCGAATAACACTATCTTATATTTGGTTAGTGATATAATTTTTTTATTCTTAAACATAATTTACGTCATAGGTTTGCATCAGTTAGAATGTTCATTTAAACCTAACTCAGAATAGTTGTTTCAGCCTTCTCTACGACTCTTCAACAGTGTCTATATATCTGTAACACCACATAAAAGAGACTGATTATATATATATATATATATATATATATATATCTCATCGGATTAAAATGATATATTCAATAATGACCAAGCAAAATCGACTACGTAGTAGTGTGATATGTTTTAATTTTAAAGGCTGTTTATTCTTTAGTGACGATCTAAAGTATTTAAAGCAATTAGTCCCTTTAATAAATCTCGATAGAACAATGAGAAGACGGAGTTGATCTGAAACATGTTATGTATTTGTGCTATACGTTTCGAACAATCTGGTCACACATATACTTGTCAGGGCATTTTACATGTATTTAACAATTTACATGTTTGTGTGGACACATACATAGGGAGGAGTAATCGAACAATGAAATCAAGGGTCATTGAATGTGTGCCTAAATGACTTCAAAATCAATGTGCGCCAAATGGTCCGCTCAACGTGTGAGGTAGAAAACCAGGTTCATCGATAGCAAAACATATAATTGAAACGGGGCACAAAATTGACATTAATGCAGCTTTTAGAACGTTGTATAGAAATTGTCAATTTTATTTTAACATAGATATCGGTACAAGAAGACACCAAATACAAGTGCGCCACACATATCTCATTTGATATGTGTGAGGGCTGTGATACTGATCGGGTGCCCAAACCGAAGTAGGTGGTTTCCTTAGGGAGCCACACCCGGAGCCTTCGATCTAAACATCTGATTCACAAGGCAGTGGGGCATCTTAAGGAGATGCAGTTCCATGGCATCCGGTGGCCAACAATTGGTCCATACGCCATTTGTTCCTTCAGGATACTGGAGCCCATGTCCACCATTGGTTTGGAATGAGGGTTTTCCAACTGCCCTAGGTGGACCCTCCATATCCGTCAACTCGGTTAGAGCCGGACATCCGCTTTTCGTCCTCTCAACTTTGTAAACAACAATAATGCCACGAGAAGGCAGTCAGTAGGACTTCCCTGGTAGTGGTTGTATGCACGTGGCTGTGTGAGAGCATTTCGAGAGGGAGAGCGGACTCTCCCCACTCTCGGCCGTACCAGGTCATTTGGGGGCATAGAAATTGTTAAAGGCGAAGTTTATTGAAGCCTTGGCTGTTCGTAAATTCAAACCCCTCTTATGTGTACAAAAACAATTTGTTGTAACCTTGAATTTACTTTGGTAGTCCTTAAATTATTCTATGGCTTAGGATAGCGCGACTATTCCTTATTCTTTCTATGTGATGAAAAATTGTTTCTCTCCCCTTTGTTACTTTTTTACTTGAACTTTCATTTAATTGACCTTTATTAATTTTCATATAAAATGCCCTGACAAGTATATGTGTGACCAGATTGTTCGAAATGTATAGCGCAAATACATCACATGTTTCAGATCAACTCCGTCTTCTCATTGTTCTATCGAGATCTAAAGTATCTAGTAAAGTATACCTATCTGTTAAATTGTTTTTAAACATAGATGGTTAAGTTATGGATTTGAAAGTTGGCTAATAAATATTATAGGATTTCATTAAATTCAATGCTAAATGAACTTCCTACAGTGATTTTTCTGTGATTTAACTTGATTCATACATGTAAGGATACACCTTAACACCTATTATTGCGTTTTAAAGAGTGAACGTTGGTAACATATTAGTCTTGTTCTTTCTGATAATTTATTTAAGAGAGGTTAGACGAAATGTTGGTTATATAGCCACATTGATAGAATTCGATCAGCACTAGGAAGTATAATATTAATCAATACCCAGTGACCAATTGTTCCGTATAAATATGATCACAATTTACTTCAAATATGGGATGGAAACTAGCATACTAAACCGGTCGGCAAACACTAACAGAAGATAAACATCTTTGATTGCGGTTAAGTCAAAAGACACATTGTGAAGAGCTTTGGCTTCAAAAATCGCTTGTTCGAAATGTTGAACAATAAATCAAAATATAACAAATGTGTTTCACCAAAATGATTTTAAAAACCAAACTATACACAACAATAATGTGTCTATTCAATTGAATGTACTTTAATTCTCCTATTAATGAAAAGAAATTTATCACTTAATGTATTCTATCATTCGTTATGCATACATCATCCTATTTCAACTTTTACTCACTTTTTTTTCAGTTGGACTCAGTGTATTGTTCTTAATCTAAATGGTAATTTTTAGAAAATATTATCCTTGTCTAACGTTATTATCATTTGTATTGTTCTGTAGGGTAAATTAACTGGATTCAGTTCACCAATTATTCATGTATTTAATAAAACAGCTGGTTCTATTACAAATAATCATATACCTAAGCGTCCTAATGTTTTATTACTTGGCGATTCTACTGGTGATGTGCACATGGCTGATGGTGCTACTATTGATGATCCAACAGGTCAACTTGGAACAGTATTACGTATTGGCTTTTTAAACGAATCAGTAAGATATGCTATTTTCCTCCGTCATATATGCGAATGTATACACTAGACCAAACTATTCACAGAAAAAACAATTTACCCATTAAAAGTCACTACATCAATATTCTTCATATCAGAATGGTTTATTTTCAGTATAAGGTTGCGGAGATTATTGAATTTCATTAAAATCATGAACCGATTAAAGGTAGACAACCATTAAAAACTTGAAACCAACAGACGGCCGTTTCGTCTTAGTATTACACTCCTTAACAGTATGCATCTGCAACACCGAAACCGGAAATTTGATCCAAGACCTTCAGTCTCGCTCGCGAACACTTAACCTCTAGATCACTGAGCCGGTAACCTCTAATACACAAGTCTGACTTCAGCAAAATCTGACCTAAGGCCTCCTTGCGGCGCTGCTGGGTAGCAGGGGCAAACTCGCTAGCCAACTTAGGCGGTCGACGGAGATCGGAATGATCACCCACTCTGTTGAATTTTTGATCAACTCATATTCTACTCGAGACTCACTTAACCACACCGGGCCACCTGTTGTGTATGCTTATGTACAAAGGGAACATTAGCTGAAATATTGTTTACCTTATGTCTAATAAAATCAGCCGCCTAATGTATTAAGTCGAAGATATAATAAAAAGATATTGTAGAAAATACTAGGGAGAGGCGATCAATAACCTCCACTGAAAGAATGCTAGTCCAAATGATTGCGAATCACGTCTATTATGTTTCGATGCTATATTATTTAAGAAAATTAGTCGAAATCTCTGCTTCATCCGTATCCCATGTTATCAAACGTTCAACAACAAAACTAATAATAGGCAATAAAGCAGTTGAGCCCGTCGAGTATTTCACTTAACCTAAAAATCTCAGCCCTGGAGGATCGGCGTTTGACGAAACCTCGGTCTGATATTTCCAACTTACTTCACTTATGGTGAAGGCGAGATTCAGTCAGTCAGCTACAACGTAGGACCAGGCACATATGTGCATCGGTCCAGGTTGCCATACCGCGTCAGCACAACAAGATGAACACCGGATTCATAGCAGTAGTTAGGTCAAAGGTGGTAATATATAAGACAAAGATTGCATATAGAGATATAGTACAAGAAGAAAGAATTGGTTCGTAGAAAGAAAGATATGAAGTGATTTTAATCTCTTAGTTTGAGGGAAGACAGGGAGTGTATACACCGACGCCATTGTGATCGATTCTGAGCCATGTCACCAAGAGTCTCCAACCATTGGTTACGATAGTCACGCGGACCTCAACCAAGTAGTCTGCATCTACCAACATGGCTCAGACTAGAAGTTAGTGACTTCAAGCACTGATGCCACGTTTTGGTTTGGCCGCCCCTAATTCTCTTCCAACCATCTCCAATACCGGATAGCATTGCACGTCGTGGTAATCGGTGTTCGGGCATACGTAACACGTGGCCCAACCATCTCAGTCGATGAAGATTCATAACCTCATCAACCGATTTACCATCATTTCCTAATACCCTGCGTCTAACCTCACTATTACTTACCCGGTGATCTCAGCAGATGCCAGCAATATTTCTAAGGCATCTGTGGTCAAACATCAGTAGCTTACGAGTATCTTCTACTCTTAATGGCCACGTTTCGCAGGCGTAAAGTAAGACAGAACGGACTGCCGCGCAGTATACTCGTCCTTTTATTGATAGACGGATATCTCGCCTTCTACATAGGTGATGCAAGTTGGCAAAAGCCAAGCGAGCTTTTCGAATCCGTGCTGAGATTTCGTCAGACACCGACTCATTAGAGCTGATCAGACTAAGATAAGTGATGCTGTCAACGCGTTCGACTACTTCACTCCCAATCCTTTGTTCAGGTGTTAACGCAGACCAGTCCTGAAGCAACAACTTGCATTTAGAGGGAGAGAAGCGCATCCCAAACATTCTGGCATTGTTGCTTAGTGCTACCAGAAGACTCTGCATTTTGTCAGCGTCTTCACCAAACAGGACTATGTCATCTGCGTATTCTAAGTCGATAAGTGGACCTCCTGGAAGGAGATCAATACCCGAGAATTCAGTCGACGAGAGTGTTATTTCCATCAATAGGTCTATGATGAAGTTAAACAAAAATGGAGAAAGTGGACAGCCTTGACGGACACCACTTGAAGTTGCAAAAGTAGATGACAGTTCGCCATAAGCCCTGACTCGACTAGTAGTGTTCGAGTAAAGAGCCTTCACAAGGTTTATGTACTTCTGAGGTACACCTTTCAATGACAGACACTGCCACAGAGTCTCGCGGTCTACAGAGTCAAACGCTGCTTTTAAGTCAAGAAAGACCACCATCGTCGGACGCCGATAGGTATGCCTGTGTTCTAGAACCTGACGAATGGTGAATATGTGGTCGATGCAGCCACGACCAGGTCTAAAGCCAGCTTGGTTCTCTCGAGTTTGTAGTTCACGAGTCTTAGTTAGACGTCTGATAATTATCGAGGCTAGTATTTTAGATACTATGTTTGTTAAACTAATCCCTCTGTGGTTGTCACAGGATGATTTTGACCCTTTCTTATATATTGGGACGATAAGTGATTGTGACCAGTCAGATGGAATAACGTCTAACTCCCAGATCTTAGCTAAAATATTAGTCAACCTAATCGCTAAAATTGGACCACCATCCTTAAAGACCTCTGGAGCCAATCCATCTGGACCAGCTGCTCTTCCTCGTTTCAGATTAGCTATAGCCTTTTGAACTTCTGCTAGAGTTGGGGGACCTACTTCAATGTTCCATTCACATTGTCTGGGAATGGAGGGTAGTTGTAGAGTAGCTGAAGGCCAGCTGAACTGTTCTCTGAAATGTTCCGCCCATCGTTCTAAACGTCTGGACTGAGAGCAGATGAGGGTGTCGTCTATTTCCGAAATAGTCTGACTTACACTTGACTTATTAATTCCAGTTTCTTTTATTAGTCTGTAAAGCTGTCTTGTGTTCCCTATAGTCGCCGCCGCCGCCTTTTCCATCTCTTTTGCTTTCGTTGCCCACCACTGCTCATGGTCGTTCCTTAGACTTTTGCTTAACTTCGATCTGATTTGTTGTCGCTCTTCATCGTGTTCAGAGCCTGATGGGATGAGTTTACGGGAATCCATCAGTGCAATAGACCTTGAGGAAATCCATTGGTTCTTTGTAACCCTGTGGTTTAAATCACTGATAGATGTCACTGCTGTTTCCACAGCTGATTGTATGTCTTTCCAAGCAACATCTGGGTCAGCCTCGTCTTCAGAACTACCTAATTGTGAACTTAGTTGTTCTTGGAACCTACTTTTGGTTTTCTCGTTACTCAACTCAGTTCTAACGGGTCTTTTTAATGTGGCTTTTTTGCGTCCAGTGAGGCGCAAGCAGATGCGTGCCCGTATTAGGGCGTGGTCGGAGTCCAAGCATGTACTCCAGAATGAGCGACAATCTTCTACCGACCCTCTCCAACGATGACTGATGGCAATATGGTCTATTTGAGTCTATCGTTGGTTTGGTGTAGGGGGTCGCCATGTTAGATGATATCTCTCCTTATGCTTAAAATTTGTGTTTGCTAAAAATAAACGATTGTCTGAGCACAGTTGCAGCAGACGGTCACCATTATCTGTTCGCTGTGCCGGAATGCTAAAATACCCACCTAAATGCCTTTCTGTTTGGTTTAAGCTACCTATCTGAGCATTAAAATCACCTGCTACGAGTACTATGTCTGAGCGTTTAGCTTTCTGAAGAAGTTCGGACAGCTTTCTGTAAAATTCATCTTTCACATCATCTGAGCTGCAGTCAGTGGGAGCGTAGGCAGAAATGACAAAAAGGCAACGACGTGTGTCCCTATCCTTCCGAGTTCTTACGGAGCCGTTTAGCCGAACAGCACATAGACGACTGTTAACGGGGATCCACTCTAGCAGTGCTTGTTCCGCCCTCATGCTTAGTACTTTGCCTACACCTGCCAGTCCACGAGAACTGGCCATCGGGTCACCAGATACACGAAGGGTGTATCTCGTTGGCTCTCCGTTTTGACGAGGTGAGGTCAAGTGAATGACCACACTGGGATCCTGTATGCGTATTTCGGAGAAACAGCATACATCAATGGAAAGAGACTCTAGGGTTTTAGCCAAGGAAGCCTGCTGACCGATTTGGCATAGGGTGCGTACGTTGAAGGCTCCAATGTGTAGTGTGGAGCGAGGTTTCAGTAGACCTGGGACAGAGTTTTGAGCACTAGAATCGTTGGCTATGGTGACACTTGAGGAGGAAGCCGAAAGAGGAAGTATAGAGTTGAAAGTCGATGTAGGAGGAATAATAGGAATTGAGGAGGAAGGTTGATTATGAATACAGTGGTCTCGAGTGCTGTTAGAGGTATGAGGGCGGTTATCACTTCCCGGTTGCCCACACCGTGGAAGGGTTCTTCTGAAGGTACCTGAAAAGGAGATTGGATTAAGGGTGGTCTTAGTGACCTGAGAGCGTGACCGCAGTGCCCAAGGGACAACTGCTTGAGGCCGGTCGCGCACGGCCTTTTCGTGGAAGGTTTTCGACGTGTTAGCTCCGTTCTTCAAAGGGCCTTACCGCCGGAGACGGAAATCCGTGAGGTAAGGTTAGGTGTGCAATTTTAGGGTCGACCATTTCTAACCCCACCCCTCCTTGTAGGGAGGCAGCATCGCTGTCATGTTGGTTGTCTGAAGGAAACATCTTACTGCTGTCACACCTCTGTACAGTCAGCAGTACGACTTCGCCTTCGGACCTTGGGTTTGTTGCTTTTAGTCTTACCGCTCCTCAACCGACCTGTCTGACATGGTAGGACCTTGAGGAACGCTTGTTCCAGCCAATATAGCTCGGTTGGGTCATCACGATAGGCAAGCCCGACCACCACGTCAAGGTAGCAACAACGGTCGTGGAAGGCGAGATTTCCATCTACCAACAAAAAGAACATTTAAATAATTCATATATTCTGAAAAAAATAATTACAGAATTCACGCCAGTCTACAGGCATAGTAAATTTGATTTAAATATTAACATTAGATG